CCTGCGATCGTAGGTCGCATCGGCTAGCAAGAAACCTGATATGTGTCCTCTAGCTCGTAATTGTTCTTCGTTTGAGGCATGTTTCCTCAAATAATATCACATCGATTTTATGTATAGATAGCAGTTTAGTAAGGTACTCTGTTTTTGCTCTGCTTATCTCTTCAATATTCAGTTGGAGAATGCGAAGTTGAGGACCTACATTCCGAGTCCGGTATTAATGGCACTCGATTAACTGATCGGTATTAATTTACCTGTGATCTGTGATCTTTGTTTATTGAATTACGAAAACTTTTCTGCCTTTTTAGTGTCAATATTGATCGTCGGCGTAGCAGTGCGCCGCAATAAAGATACGACATATGTATCTACGTTATTTTAAAAAACGTCTATTGAGTTTCATTAGTTTTAGAGACTCGAGTTTTGACAAATCTCCACTCGACCTTATAAACCTCATAATTTAGTAATGTCAAATTATTAATTATTAATTGCCTATGACAATTGGCATACGTAAATTTAGTTGATGGATAATTTATCATTGTCACTGTGTGTAAAAATAAAAAAATTTAAGTAGCCAAAAAGCTCCGAGTAATTATTTGATTATAATTTCATAATTAGTATTCGCCTCACTAAGATAATATGGACTGGTATCGACAAGGTAGACATTTGGTAATGATGCAGTTGATTTCTGAGACGGGGAATAGAATAGCATAGACGGGGAGAGAATATAAAAACTGTAACGATTTTAATGGTGCTTTCCTGTACTATAAAATATAGGTACGCTGCTTGAATAAGTGTTGTGAGCGAATCTACGTCATTTCGACGCACAATTCCACGCATTTTGTTTTGTTTAATTATTATTATTGATTTATTTTTCAAAATAAATGTATATACGTAATAATATTTTAGATATCTCTAAAGATTGTATACAGATATTATATTATTCGAATATATAACATTTTAACGTTGGAAAATTGATCATACTTATCTTTATAACTGTTCGGGACGATACATTTAATAGATAATAAATACGTATTCTATAATGTATTCAGTATTTGCCGAGACTAAAATTGTATATATAATAAATACATTCTTCATTTATTAGGTATATTTATTTATTTTTATTTAAGATATACATTTATATTGTAAAATAACAGGGATTCATAATATTAACATGAATTGAGCACAATTTAAAATTGTATACATACGAAATGCATTTTTCATTTATTAAGTATATTTATTTTATATTTAATAATAATTTATTTTATTTCTATTTTATACATACATTTATTTTAAAAAATAAATCAATAATAATAATTTAAAAAAAATAAATCTGGATATCAAATCTCGGTGATAAAAGTATGTATTTATCATTGAAGTTAAGATATCTAGTGGATAAAAGAAACGGTACTTAAATCGCCTTAGACTGTTATTTATACTGCCCAAGTGAGTCATTAAATTTTTAACAGATTTTGGTCTGCTACAGGCACATTTGTCTGGTTCATGCTATGCAACCGAATATGATGGCATACATAAGTAGTTGAATAACTAACGTTTCCTAGGTAAAACACTATCTGAGTTATCGGTTAAAAAATATCAAAATAATGATTGTAACTTCTATATTAGAACAAGTAGAATTTTTAAAAGAATTATTTTACTACTCTGTAATTGTTTGATAATTATTATGATTCCTCGAATTATAAGTGTTTTTAATTATAATTTTAACGTTTAAACTACCCATTTAAAATTAACAGTTTTTAACATGTTTTTTTTTATATTTTAAATCAATAAAATCCCCAAAAATAGTTTTTGGATGTTATATTATTTTATTATTTAGGTTAATTTTAGTCCCATTTCCTTAATTCTATTTAACATATATAAAATAATTTTTTTTTTCAAACCGCCCGAAAGCTTTTATTGTAACGATCAAAATAAATCTTTAACAATACATTATCAAAGGTGTACATAAATACTTGTGATGTATTTATATACAAAAAAATAAACATGTGTGGAATCTCACTCCCAGTGGAGTGTCACTAATCTTAGTCTAAGAGTCTTATACTAAGTCATATGGTCTTCGGTGTTTGAGACGCCTAATGTCTAGAGATTTGTCTAGTTGAATTGCTGCTGGATTAGTGTGTTCATCCAGTCTTTTCTCATGCGGGCAAACTTAGTAATCTCGTCCTGGACGAAGGTGATCATCATATCTCGTTGGATAATGTCGTTTCTCTCATACCGCTATGCTGCAACAATGGTAAGGAGTACAATGTTCTGGCAACGTTGTATAATCTCAATATTAGACTTGCTGGCACAACCCTACAGTTGAATTCCATAAGTCCATATTGGTTTAATTATCATTACATACAAGAGGCGTTTGCTTGTGAGATCTAGTTTGGAATGTTTTCCGACCAGCCAATATAGTTGTCGCATTTTCTTTTTAATTTTCAGTTTTTTCTGTCTAATGTGGTACTTCCAGTTGAGCCGAGAGTCCAGGTGCATTCCTAGATATTTTACTGAGTCACACTGTGGGATGCTCTGCTGATCTAGTAATACCGGTTTATATTCGTCCAGTTGGAAACGTTGTAGATGGACCTTTGAAGCCAATCAGTCGCAATCTGCTGGTCTTCATTCGTTATCATTATTACCGTGTCATCAGCAAACATGGCTGTCATTGAATAGTTGGTGGTTGGAATATCTATTGTGTAGAGTAAGTACAGGATTGGTCCAATAACGCTTCCCTGTGGTATATCCGCCGATATGTTTTTCCAATCAGTTAATGCTTCTTCATTAATGACCCTGAATTGAATTGAATCCAGGTAGGATTCTAAAAGTGCGCACCAATTGTTTGGCAGCTGTTAACGTAGTTTTATAAGTAATCCTTTGTGCCAAACTTTATCGAAAGCTTGTACCAAAGAATACTCCGCAGCAACACTTATTCTCTTCAAACACTTTTCTTATTACGTTGGAGACACGATGGACCTGATCAATTGTTGAGTGTTTATTTCGAAATCCAAACTGATGTTCCGGTATAAGCTGTCTTTCTTCTATTAACGGTTTAAAGCGTTTTAGAAGTAGTTTTTCGAGTAATTTTGAGATGCTTGGAAGTTCTATATGAAGTTACTTCTTCTGGTGATTTTCCTAGTTTAAGTACTATGATCACTTGGGCTCGTTTCCATTGTTTAGGAACGTATTCCATACGTAGGATGGTATTGAATATGTGTGTTAGATGAATCATAGCTTTTTTAGATAACTCTTTCAGTATTTTTGGGTTAATCTGGTCGTACCCAGATGCCTTTTTTGGGTTGATATTCATATTAATTTCTTTTGCGATTTCAACTGGAGTAAAGTGCTTTATCTTATCGCATATTTCATTTAGTTGTTGATACTGAACTATGTCGAGTTTGGAAACCACTTCGTTTGGTTGAAATACACGGTCTAAATGACGTGCGTAGATATCTGCTTTATCTTTTTCACAGGGTGCTCATGATCCACCTTCCAACTTTCCATTTGATAGTACATAGGCTCTAGGACTCTTCATGTGTCTTGTAGCCTTCCATAATGAATAATCAGTGTTATTCGTTGCAGAAAGTTCACTTAAGTATGATTTGAACGTTTCGTTTTTTACTTTTTTAATTTTTTCATGCAAAAGTTTGCTAGTACAATTCCAGACGGTTTTATCCGAANTGCCTTTCGTTTTTGTTTTACTAGTTCCCTAACTTCCATTGGGTAGATAATCTCACGATTACCACCTGTTGGTGTTATGGGTGTTGCCGCTTTCACGATGTTATTAGTCAGTTGTTCAACAGAAGTATCAATTTCAATAGGTGTTCTTTGTCTTATTATGAGGGTTAAGGTTTCGTCTAGATTCGCTTTAAAGTGGCTCCAATCTGTTTTCTTGTTGATTAACAACATCTTTCGTTGTTTATGTTTTTTTTTAGTTAGCAGCCGTGGGGTTGGTTTGTTGCAACTCTCCATTCTTCCCGATTTTCCGCTTTCCTCTTCATGTGTCTATAGCCTGGGACGTCTACATCCCTCATTATTTGTTGTAAGTAGTCCAGAGGGGGTCTACCAACTTGTTGTTTATGTATAACATTAGAACTTAACGTAAGAAGCATTGGTTTATGATCTGCCGTTTATTTTATAAGTTCTAAAACTTCGATATAATTAGAAAATATACCTTTCATAATAAGGAAGTCAATCTGGTCGGGAATCTTGTTCGGATCAGTGGGCCAATACGTTGGCTTACTTGTAGTGATGATTTCAGAATTGATGTTGTTTGCAACTTTCAACAAGGCTCGTCCCTTTAGGGTGATCAGTCTCGATCCCTAGTGAGTATGCTTGGCATTATAATCACTTCCAACAATGAATCTAGAACCTAACGTATAGACAAATTCAGCGAACTTAATTTCATCTGCACATCCTTGCGGTGGGCAATAAATTGCAGCAACGGTGAAATCGTTATTCCCGTTATTAACGCTGACGCTTGTCGCTTGTATATGATTTATAGAGCATTCTTCGAGTTCATAGTGCTTTATGGACTCTTTTATTATTACAGCTATACCACTCCTAGTTCTACCACTAGGATGAATTGTCGTGTATATTCTGTAATTCCTTATCTTAGGTCCAAGTTGTAAAGTGAATTTCCGAAATAAGGGCCATGTCAATGTTTTCACTATGCAAAAGGTCTTCAAGTTCTTGGCTGCACTGTACTAACCCATTGGCGTTCTATGCAATGATCCGCAGTATACTGTTCATTTCTTTATTTTCTGCGAGGTATTTTTGGACTTTGTCTGGTTTATTTCCAGTTTGTCTATTTTTACTGTAATATGTACTAGTGTCTGCATTACGTTGGTTAATGCGACTAGAATACCATTAAGAGTGATCGATTCTTCGTTTCCCTTTGGTTGAGATGTTTTTAGATCGACTTTTGAAGTCTGAGCCATCTGCGCGTATGAAACATTTGCTGTGACAGGTTTCTACTGTATTCTTTGCACAAAAGAGACTTGTGTTGGGTGTGCTCTTTCTATTGCTTTCTTGTAAGCAGAGAAACCTTTCCAGTTGGCTGTGTGATTTTCACCACAGTTTGCACATTTTGCTTTTGTCTTTTTAAATTTTGGGCAATTTTTGGTTCTGTATCCTTCACGCATTTCACATTTCACGTATACAGCCGATTTGTGACAATAATTTTGTATGTGTTCGAAAGCTTGGCAGTTCTTACAATGATTCTTTTTTTTTACGTAGTGGTTCTATTTTTAATATCTGATGACATAGTAGTTTTATGTTGTAAATGTCTTTATTATTCTCCCGTGGTTTTAAATCTACAAAGAATAATGGTAGCCTTATGTATTTCCACTCCGCTGTTTTTGTTTTTAGAATCAGATTTTTTCTTGATCTATACATTGGTTATTTTGCTTACTTTGTGGCCTTGGTCATACAGTTCATTAGTAATTATTCCCATATCGGGAATCATGATTTATACCTCGTAATACTACTCGAAATGATTTTTCACTTTTTAATTGGTACGGATGGTATTCAACTTTATTTTCTTCCAATATGTTTATTGTACTTCTGAATTGAATTTTGTTTGTTGTTAAGATTCTCGTCTCGTCATTTGATAGGACTTTGAATTGTTGTTCGTTTCCTACCGGTTATTCACACGTTAATAATTGTTTTAATTTATCAAATTGTTTAACATCTTTGATAGTTATTATTGGAGATTTATATATTTTTTGAGTATTATCATTAGTCGGGTTTTTATTACTATTTTGTTTAACTTTTGAAGTTACGTTAATATCTTTTGAAACTGAAATGTTAGAAATAGGGGTCGTTCTTTCTAAGTTATTAACTATTTTTATAATTGATTGACGATTTAGCTACCAGTACCAATTCATTATTTTTTATTTGTAATAATTTTTGACTTGCTTGTAGTTCTGCTACTTGGAAGCGGAGTTGTTCGTTGACGTGTTTTAGTTCGGTTAAAATATTTTGCATTTCTGCGTAGGTCGGCAAATCTGGTTACATAGGTCCGTCCATGGCTGTACGTGTCACGCGACGGTGGGAACGCCGTTGCACGAGCGTATGGCCTACTTAATATTATTATGTAGACACTTACCAATTTCCGACGAGCGTGGTAAGCATTTTGATGTTATTAAATTACTGAAAGAAAAAACAACGTGAATGACAGCACTCGAAAATGATAACACAGTTCAACAAACAAATCGCGACTAAAATAAAATATGTATAATAAATCACTACTGCAATTAGTTTTAAAAATATTTAATTAAATAAAGTATATTATTTCTCTTACTGTTGAATTTATTATTTTTTTCATCAATATTTGTGAATCAGTAGGTTACTTTATAGGCATAACTGGTGTTTCTATTATTACAACGATTTTTCTTATACAGTTTCTTTTAAGGACTTGAATTATTTATTTAATGATTCATAACCTAAAATCAAATGTTAGAGTTTAACATTTTTGAAAAAATATAGATATATTTTTTCTTAGAAATTCTTAGGTACTTACCTACAAAATGACTGAATAACTGTGTTCATAAATAATGTTGTTGAATAATTTTGGAATAAACATAATTTGAGGTGTTGATTTACTATCACTTTTATACTTCCGAATAATTGACATATTATAGCTACATTTTTGTTTATGTATGTTTAATAGGACATCAATATATGAGTTTATTATATTCTTTTCCAGATTTGCTTTAAACCTGTAAACCATATAATTCAATAGAATATAATATAATACTTTGTGTTTAATAATTCGACTTACATACCTAATCATACTCAATTCATTTTTTTATTTTGTAAAATGTAATAAAATGATTGATACAATAATAAGATACCAAGATTGTATACAATAATCAAATTTCTATAAAATTGTATGAATACTATTATCATTTGAAGTATCCTGTATGTAAAAAAAAAAAAAAAACTATTTTAAAAACAGCAATTTTCATTAAATTATAATAATATTAAATATAGATTAAATTTTAATAAAAGAAGAAAAAAACAGCATACATAGTAAGGTAAAAATTGTATTCTAAAATGAAATTTGTTAGTGATACTGGTTCAACATTTTTATTATAGCGATATAGTTTTTTTGACCCCCTCCTGACACAGACCAAATATTGTATACTAGTATAATCCCCTACATTCTTAATGTTCCCATCATGATCATTCACCTTGTATCACATTCTTATACAATTACCATAACCTATCATAACATTTATGATTAAATTATTTTCTGCATTATTTTTATTTATTTTTTTGCATTGACATTTTTGAAATATGAAGAATAAAAATGGAAGATTCGAGTGACTAGATAGCTAACTAATGTTTTCATATACGTGGTAGATAATGTTTACATAATTATCTTATTAATATAAAGTAATAAGTATATTTTTTTTTTAAATTATACTAAATCATAGATTTATAATACAATGTTGCATTATTACAATTAACAATAAAAAAACTAAACATTGAATATTAATTATTAAATATAAAATAGCTAAACCAACCAAAATAACGAATATTACCCTATAGTATGATGTGATATTTTTTTTTCTTGAGTATTGGGTTTATCTTTTATTTGGTTGTATAACCATATGTTAATTATTTTTAAATAACTAATAACTATGTAATAAAATAATATAACCATAGTACAATACTGTAGTTTGTTTTGATAATATAAATAGTGCTTATTAATATCATGAATTGATCAGTATTATCAATATTATGATCAATCAGGTTTAATCAATTCATAGTTTCATACTTCCTTGTCAGATGTAGAAATAAACACTTCATATTTCTACTAACTGCAACTTTTGATGATGTTTTCATTGAGTCTTTCATGTGTCCATTCAAATTAATTAATTTTCCTAAAACACACATGCTTAATTAGTATCAAGCTCTGACATTCTCCTAAGACATGTATTTCTATTATTAGATAAAATTAAAAATATGGTTTATAGACTGATGGATACCATGTAAAAATGTGTATCTAATAATGTCATTATTAATTAAGAAGTTGTATACCCTCCATACACTGTTGCTAGAAAGTGGTATAGTAAAGATAAAATTGGTCCATAAAAACCATGAGCAAATTTTATTGTGACAGTACCTTGTGTGCCATTTATCCCAGTGTTGTGAAAAACCTTTAATAAGTAAACATATATATATATATGAAATATAATAATATAATATATGGAAGACTAAATATCAATATATGAAATCAAATAAGGAGGTGGCAAAGATTCCTTGACCTCAATACTCTGTTTCAACATATTTTGACCATCAACCCCCCCTCCCTTCACCACAGGAGGAAATCGTAAACATACCAGAGTAGATATAAATTTACTTACCCATTTAATTGTAGAAAAGCTAAATTGATACTATCAGCTCAAAATAAACCTCAGTACACAGATCACTTTGATCTGTTACAACAATATAAAACTAGATAAATATGAATTCCAATTATTTATAAAATATTCAAATCAAATTTATAATTGATTACAATAGAATTGCAAGCCTGTAAAATATTAATACTCTAATAAAATCTATTACACCATTGGCTTAATTAATAATTCCCAAGGAATGATATGAATTATCATCATTTATTTTAAAGTTGAAATTACTATTTAATCAGGTTTCAGTTAAAATAATTGTATCAAATGATTGTAGGATCGCATTCAAATAAATCAAAATTTCATTTAAATGTAATTTAATACTATAAATATTATAGTGAAAAACTGAGACATCATTAAAGTTAAAATCAATATCAGTTAAACTATCTATTTCATTAGTAACTACATTATTAATAGATTTAATTTCTTTAAGTAACTGTTATACATTTAAGTGTAGGAAAACATGTACCTATAACATAGAGATTGTATAATATAAAGAATAAAGACAATTTAATTATTTTGATACTAATTAGATTTCCAAAAATGAACTGCTTAAATGTCTAAATATAAAGAAGAATAATATTAAAATGGAAGTGTTACAAAATAGTCAGACGAGTAGATAGCTCTTATTTATGGTCAACATTAATTTGGATGATAATAATAATAATAATATTAATAACCAGATTAATTAATAACCATTCGTTTAATAGGTACTGGTGAATGACTTATACATAGGTGTATAAAAAACCTACTTTCTTGTTATCAAAACTACATTTCTCCAAATGTTTTTTTTATCCCGAACTCCTGATTTAATACAAAATTAAAACCAAATTAAAAGTTAAATATAAAATTACACCTATCATAATATACACTTTTAAAATTGTTGTGCCTGCTTTAAAAGTAGTATTTTCATAAAATTGTTTTGCCAAAATGTATGGTAATTTAATGCTTAATCCATCAACAAATCAAAACTTAACTATGCATTATACTTAATTTTAAAGTTTTACTGGTATGTGTGTGATAACCAGGTGCAACACTAAGTGGTTTTGTTTGCCAGTCCAAGTGACGATGTATAACACTTTATTCATAGAGACGTACGATACGCGGGTCAAGAAAATTTTGTAAGTTTAATAGAAAATGTAGTCCGATGACCGATGAAGTACCAGCAAATTATATTTACCTGTTTAAAATAAATTTAGAAAAATGGCTTTGTAATGTAGGTACCTGTTTTATAGATTTTAACCTCAATTTTAACTTAAATTTTAGATAAACATTTCGACACATTTGTAACAAACGAATACGTACTTTCTGGACAAAATATTATGTTGGTAGATTAAGTTAACAATCCCGCTGATAGTTCGTTTACACTCTACCCTTGAAGTATAAACGAGCGAGTAGTTCGGCAATTTGACTGACGTATTTACAACTCGCGTGAACCGGACTTCATTGTTGACGTTGACATCGATACCTAGATATTTACACAAGTAACAACAATTATAGAATCGGCAGACCTCTAGAGACGTAAAAAGAGATTAAATTGAGTAGATCGTATTACTTGGCGGTAGGTAGTCCAACAAACGGTACCCGAAAACCAAATTACAAAAATGCTACTTCCAGTTCGTTGACGGCGCGGTGTTTGTGTGACCGCGAAATGGCGGCGGACGACGCCCGACGGTGACCGGTGACGCCTAGCTGCTGCAGCCGCCGCGGTTCGGTGCGAGGCGTGGCGTCGCTATAACACAACGCGTACTTAAACTTTAAAGTATTCTTATTTGGTTACCTACACTGACTGACGCAGCGTCAGTGCGTCACTTTTGGTGTGTGTTTGGCCCGCGTATGCGGAAGCGTAACGAATTGGGCAGTCTCGCGTTTGTTCCGCGGTACCACCGTGCCGCACATCCGTCCGTATAAATTATTATTGAAGGGGTACGCTCGGCCCAACCCCAACTGCGCACCGCTACGACACGAACGAGACCGATGATTACAGCAATGCAACAGACAATAAATGGAGGATAGTAATTTCCTGTTTGGTTTTTCACGCAGTGAATTATTATTTGAGATAAAACGAAAACAAAAATAATTGTCGTTTTAACCGTTTTAGATATAATATTATTATAGTACATTGAAATATATATTATTTTCAGAAAAATTGAAAAATTCAACGTGTATACTGCATACCTAAATAGATACGCCGGTGAGTACCTATCGTACAATATTCAAGTATCCTCCCTAGGTTGAGACAAATTTAGCAAAAATAAAACTATTTACTAAGACAATTCGTACATTTTCTCGTTTTTTTTTTCAGTTTTTTATTGGTTTTTCACATTTGATGAGAAAATTGCTGAGAAAATCGAAAAACTACCTTCTTAAAATATCTGGTTTAGGTGTAATGATCTTATTTCTAATAAAGAAAGATGGCCTCGTGGTGGCAAAGACGTGTATATAATAATTCTAGAAAAACAAAACTAAAACAATTATAGATACATTATTTAGATAAAGTTAAAGATACAAATACATTATCATTATTATTATTTGCATTTGCATTGATCATACAAATTAGTGATATCACAACAAAAACCCTTCGTAAACTTCGTGTAAAAATGCCTAAGTAAAAAAAAAATTATTAGATCTTAAGCACTATAAAAATGTGATATGAATTAATGCTAAGTATATTGAATTTAAGTAAACGTATTTTGTTTCAATAATTTATTTACTTGGCGAGGAATTATTTCTTAAAAAAAAATTTAGAATAATAGTATTATTACCACAATCTCGTTGATCTAAAAACATTTTATAATTAGTTGCATTGCTTTCAGTTCTAGTAACATAATGAAAATGTAATATTAAAAAAATAATAATAAACACCCTTGTAAAACTATAAGCTTCTTCGCTCCACTCAGAAACTAAAATAATTTGCCGCCCTAAGCATTAGCTTAAAGTGTTTACTGGGAAATACGGCACTGGCCGTTTAATTATTTTTTTCGTCACACTTTGTTTCGTTTAAGAAATAATTCCTCACCAAGAAAATAAATTATTGAAACAAAATACGTTTACTTAAATTCAGTATACTTACATTAATTCATGATATCACATCTTTATAGTGCTTATAGATCTAATTTTTTTTTTTTTACTTAGCCATTTTTAAACTAAGTTTACGAAGGGTTTTTGTTGTAATTAGTATTATATTCATATAACTTTAAGAATAAAAAATCATCATTATGATACATTGTACTGTAATAAACACAAAAATAACTGCGATAGGATACAAAACTTGAGGATACCTACTACATGATATGATGGTTAAGATGGTGGTGGCGGTACACGCGTTGACTGCACTCATACTAATGTTCATTTACTTCTCACACACTTGCATGACCAGTTTGTAACTGTCATAAAAGTTGCCTAATTTTCACTCCTCAGAATCGATCCAGCTCGAGTCCCCTTAATAAACTTACTTATGTCACGTTTCAGTGGATAATCGTTATATTCATTAAGTTTTTTAGATAAATCAAAATAATATTGATTTTTTTAAAATATTTGTGATTTTATGTGTAGGTTATAAAATTAAATCGAAATATTAAGATGAGCACATTTTATTTAACACCGTGGGTAGGCCACTGTTGTAGGTGAGTAGGTAATTTAAAAGGTAAGATACGTAATATAGAAAAATATTTAGTTCACACCTATAGGTATTAGGTATGTACTTAACGAATAAATTATTGCGAAAAAACGAAAATTCTGAATGAACAGTAGTATTATTATGTTTTTCCCTTGTTGCCAAGTTAAGTAATCCGAAAATTAACGAAAATCGAAAATAGGACCGAAGGATGGACTGTTGAAAACTTCGATATATTGTACGAATTGAAATAGTTCTGAACATGAAATTTCGCATCTTTTAAGGTAACTCTACCTACCTACTGCGTGAAAAAAATCTTAAATCTAAAATGTGGAGAGAGGGGCAAAACAAAGTGTTTAAAATTTTGAGTAAAACGGGAGCGGCAGTCTCACCCCAGAAATTCATACCTATTTGATTAGATATATTGTAGGACGCGAGTTTTGCGACAAGTATTGTAGGACTGAGAATTTTCTATTGGTAGCAAATCTTTTCTTTTTTTTTTGGTTTGTATTAAATCTTTAATGGGTATACCTATATCTGCATAAGAATAAACTGAGTTTTGAAATTTTAATTTTAGTTTTTTGACATTTTTGATTTTTAATTTGAGGTCATTTTTTCTGTTATAGGTTTATTTATTGCATTTTACGATATTTGTATTTTAAAGTTTACTCAGTAATTGGGAAATAACCCAATAACGAATTTTGTTATTTTCGGTAGATCTACGATAATTTTTAACTGAATTACACTAAAAAAAAAAAATCGAAACTAACAGAAACCGTTATCGGGTAAATTGTTTTATTTCTCCCAAATTGTTAAAACTAGAAAACGACTGATAAAATTGAAAAATTATACCTATAGATAACAAAAAATTTATAACCGTAATAATCGTATTTCTATTTTTAGCGTTTTCGAATTCAAATTTTGACGAAAATCGTAAAAATCATGGCATTCAACACGCGTTTAACAGAACTTTGCGTAAAATCGTTTTGCGTTAGCGATTTATCTTTGCATTGGTACAAATATAAATTAAAATGCTAATATCCTATCCATTCTACACCTTTCATCTACTGCAACAGTAGCATACCAATATCCAGTAGGTATAAGCTATTTTTTTTTTTAACAAACTGCAATGAAAATCATTTATGATGTCTCTATTCATTGAGATGTATTGAGATATTAATATTTATTATGTATTCAAACTATTCAAGATTCATGTTTCGACAATTTGAACCCATTTGTTCGTACATTTAAAACATTTTTTTAGGACTTGCAATGAATTTTCAGCACTTTAAATTTCCAAAAAATAATAATACCAATAGTAATAAAAACAATAATTTATTAAAAATAATAATAATTTTTTTCGGTATCAAACGCGGTTATAATAACCTATCACGTGAATGGCATATGCTAGTTTCTCTCTGAACACTTCGCAACAATACGGACACGTGTGCCACTCCACGACGGTTTTGAATGGCCACCGCTTTGTCGACGTCCCGGACGTCCCGACGACAGGACGACCGCGTCTGTCCGTCTCTCCTAAACGGCCCAGTTCGGCGACGTGGCGCGCTATCGCTGCGGTCGACCTCAGGTCTAACGGCCGCGCACTGAAGGCCACCCGCTTTCGGACCTTGACGACGAACCGTGACGACGCGAGTGGCTTCCTGGCCATAACGACGACTTCGGGCGAACCGGGCCACTTGACCGATTTCCGTGGCACGAGGGTCCGGTCTTGCGGCGGCAAAGGCTGCGCGACCTTCTGAATTTCTCGGCGGTTCTCTTGCTGCGGAGTATACATGATAGTACGAACACATACAGTAACTACGCTGTCGTATAGGTGTAACTTGTATACGTGGCCTGAATGTTGTTTTGTTGTTTCGGGGGGAGTGAAAACGGCCGGCTTCGGATCAACTTGGGAAAACGAACAAAAAAAAAAAAAAAAAACAATGTTATACAATAAATAAATAAAAATTGATGATCCAGTACTATAATATAAGCGTACTGAAGATGCAAGCGCCCGCTGCACCGAAATCATAGGTTATCGTTTCAAAAACGACGGGACGAATAGAAAATTCGATCGTGTTAGTCGTGAGTGTTTTGCGCGTCAAGTTATCTACGTTAAAAATATTACGCCTCAATAATATTATTATCATACACGGTGCACAATAAAACTTACTCGGCAATAACTGCAAGATCGACCGACAGGGAATACGTCACAATAACGCCACGACGTTTGAGTCTAATATAATAATGGTTAACGATTCCACACCACCATAATATTATCGACCGCGCGCGGCTATATCATAATGACAATTGACAGACGACAGACCACAGACAGATTGTATCGACGAAACAGGCCATAATATAATGAGTCCAACCAGACCGCGATAAAGATATTATAATGAAAAATATACGTCATTAAAAAAAAAAAAATAATTCTCCAAAGCTTAAAAAATATGAATTAATCCGTTTTCCCCGTTATATCGATCGGTATTCTGCAGATACCGTGGGATTATTACAAATTGAATGCACATGAAAAACCCGAAATAAAAAAGCAACGCATTGTTCGCCGGTAAAAAGCGGCTCGTTAAAATACCCAAAGCAATATAAATAATTACTATAGTACCAGTGGCGCATAATGATGGAGGGCGTTGTAGGTTCAGAAACACCCACCCACTCCCCTTGACAATGCTTGTTTATTACATATGGATATTATTATAATAAAATGATAAAAGATAAATTATTTTACAATATGGCCACATAATATTACAACTGTGTAAATTTCATAACCATCTTTGTGTTGTGAACAAATTACAATGTGAACGACGATTGGTTCATTGAAGTCACGAACTATGACATGTATGCATTTTCTTAAGAGGGTCGTACGAATTGGCTCCGTCTTACCAAATTCGCAGTCAGCAGGGACAATAATTGTGTTGTTAAAGAGCAAATATTAGCCACTAATGTAAGTGGGTATTTGGGAAGGTGGGACACATAAAGTTATTTAATTTATACCTGTAACCGATAAAACACTGCTACCAAAAAACGATTCGAAGCGAAGTTTACGGTTTTGATAGGCAGTAAAATTTACGGTTTTCGTCAAAATTTGATTTTAACTCTTATAAAAAAAAAAAACTACATTACACTAAATGTTTTTTTTTTTGACCTCTAAGTACGACTTGTAATGAACCTTCAATCAAATTGTCAAGTATTTCTGTTTATTCTAACAATTTTATACACAAAGTACCTAGGTACCTATCAAATAAAAATTACGTAAAAAACTTACAAAATTAAAATGTCTATAAATAAAATCATTATTACTGTATCAACTTTCCCGTTCGTTCGCGGAAAACTCTTTTACATTAGTACATCGTAATGCTGTAATCATTTTTCCTATATGTTTTTTTTTCCGATTTATCCCAATTATTATGAAAACCGCTTAGAAAATCAAAAGATGACTTTTCGAATTGCATTTTGAATGCAATGTAGATCCGATAAAAATATCTCTTATTGTTTTTTGATTGGAGCAAGATTTCTGGTAGAATGTTGATAACAAACACAACAAAATTAGCACACAATATAGTTTCATTCAGAATCTAATAAATCTACCCAATAAACCGAGAGAAGAAACAATAACAAGCAATCAAAATCAAACCCGTCGGTATACTTAATCCAAATTTACACAATAAAACCTATAAATACGTAGCTACCAAAATAACATGTCTCGAAAAAAGCTTATAAAAAAAAACCAAATTCACTTGTCTGGTGTACATAATTGATTAGATATACAAACTTGTTTCCTTTTTTAACCGTTCATATTGTAGTGAAGTCAAACCTATACTAAAAACAGTTAACACCTATACACAGTTACCAGGTTCCAATATGTTACAGGAGCGATATGTTTTATCGTCGGGATAAATGGCTCATAATTATAGTAATTATTTTATTATTATAAAATACTGTATACGTTATTATTATCGAGCAGTACAATTGCTCAGCTATTTGTATAATATGATTACAAGCAGAGCTCGTAACAAGCGTGTTTACACGGGTATGGTAAATCTGGCCAGACATGCAACGGCATCAACCAGACATCAATTTATATGCAAATATACATACATATATCTGTAGCTTAGTGCAGAAAGGTCATTCTAATTATTTTGAAAAAATGAGTCAGAAATAAAAAAAGACATCCTAGGATAATGGAAACGGATGCTGCCACTATTATATAGGTAATTTAATGTAAGCAACAATAAACAGCTAACGAAAAAACAATTCTGCGCAGTTCAGTTAATAGTGATGCTTTGTCAAAAATATATACGTCATATTATGGTAAAATAATTATAAAGCCATTATGTATTTTCTTTAATAATATTTGTTTAATATTTTACCGATTTTCCCATATTTTTTCCGCGGTTTTTCAAATTTTCTTGGAAAAGTCTCGAGAAAATCGAAAACTGACCTCCTTATATTACCATAAAGATAAAATTTCCTTTCAGAAAATAAGTTACACTTGATACATCGGGGCAAGATTTCTGGTAGAATAGTTTGCACAACAAATCGCGGGGTATTTTGAGATTAAAATAATCCGAGTTACCGATTGCTTGGGTCTCTAGGTATACCCGAAATGCATTTGTTTCTTCCTTATTTAGGTAAAAGAGGGAAAAAAATGCAACCAAATTGTTCGAAACCCGAGTTTGAACTGGGGACCCCAGGATGATAATAGACATGTATAACCGTTGTATCACAATAAATATTCTTTAAGAAAGACAATATAGAGTTATAAACCTATAATATCGGAACTTCAAAAAAATATAATTTTGAAACATAGTCAGTCCGCTTAATTCTAACTTCACCATCGTTTTTAAACAGGCAATATACATAAGTTAAAAAAAAAATATTGAAAAATTAAATTTGTTCCACATAATTTTTTTACTCAAACTATTTTCATTTAAATTTGACACTAAAATTCCTTTATAAAATAAAATACTACATTAAACTCAATTTTAGCCCCCGAGCGTAGCGAGGGACCTATTGGTTATACTAAGATGTTTATTTTTTTTCTTTGTTCTTTGTTCTAGTCTATGGACACGTTTTTTCCTAGTAAACTTGCTCCCATTTTTACGTATAGTAATTTTTTTTGAAAGCACAAGTTGTCTAGATTGTACTTTGGAGAGGTCATTTTTGATTTCTCCTTTTTTAAATAAAAGCACTTAAGTGGAAAAAAACGTCAGAAAATGTACAATTTCAGGATTTCATTATTTTATAAAAACACAGAAGACGTTTTCTACCAGAAAAAATTATTTAATCGAAAAATCACAAGATATTTGTTTTGTTGCATTTTTGATTTCATTTCTTATGGTGTCATTGCCAAAACTTTTAAGCCAATTTTGATCCATTTTTATATTGGACCTACCCAGACGTGGTAAAATTTTCACAATTATCAAACGACTTTTTTTTTTAATAAACGTTTTAAAATCAAATTTAAACAAAAATCGCAAAAAAAATTACGACAGTTCAGATTATATGTTACCGATCGGTTTTCGAAATCGTCTTTCGTCAAGGAATGGTTTATCGTTGCTTACAGATATAAATTAAATAACCGTATGTATCTTATCTTCCCAACTTCTCAAGTGGCCGCCCCCATCCTCAATATCGCTCTTTTTTTTTTTCCTAATGCTCACTGATTTTGTTCTATATATTTTTTTTTATTATTTTTACTATTTTAATTAAATAATTGATTAGGTACCTTGTGTATGAACGAAAATAAAATACCACATAGGTATACCTACGTACTGTTGTAATTAATTAAAATTAAATATGATATGTTTATACGACTTGAAAAATGTTTCTTATTACTACATATTTATATCATTATGACATATATGGTCTTTCTTTGATACAATTATTTGTACGTCGGTTTTTTTTTAAATTATTTTGTTTTTAACATAGGTATGTTAATTGCCGATTTAAAAACGATGATAAGCCAGAATTGACCGGACTGGCTTAGTTCCGAAATTATAATTTTTTAAAGTTCTAATATTATGCGGATATTATATGTTATGTAAAATAACTGTACACTTTCAACTTTATATTATGTCTGTTGTAGTCAAGTGGTACTACTTACCTATTGTCATCAAACCCGTGTTCCGAAAAATATTGTTAACATTTGTTTTTTCCCTTTTACCTAAACAGGAAAAAAAAAGTATTTTGCGTTATATTAGTTATCGACCTTTATTATAGGTCCTATATAGACCCCAGCTATCGCTAGCTCGAATTATTTTAATTAAAAATATCTCTCGATTTGTTGTGCAAACATTTCTAACAAAAATTTTATCTACATGGTATTTTAGGCAGTTCATTTTTTGACTTTCCCAGGAATTTTCCCAATAAATGGGAAAACCGGAAAAATAAATAAAATATTATGAAAGAAAATATATAAATATATAATGTATATTATGTTATTATTGTACCATAATACGACATTTATATTGTTGCAAAGTAACACCATTAACCTGCTTAGAATAGTTTTTCTTTAGTAATGATTAATTGTTGCATACAGTTAAATTACATTAAATTTCCCCTTAACCTTCTCAATTTGTCATTTACAACAGTGGCCCATCAACTTACAAAGTATATCAGTCTTTTTTTTTATTTACTTAAAAAATAACGCATTAATTTCGAAATGCAAATAGTGCGTCGGGTTAATTTTAATTTTTAGTAAAATTTTGCTCTGATTTATTGTTATTACTTTTTTGTTTATTCGTATATAAAATATTACATACAGATATGATTGACAAATTACATATTACAG